TGCTGCTTTTTGGTCATTTGATTATGCATGGAAATGAGTATTATCATGAAAATGTCACTTTGGTGTTCAGATACTTGCTTCCCGAATTCCGAAATGACTATGGTCTTGAGACGTGGAAAAATCTTATCTGGCCGAAGGAAATTTCTCCGTCCTGGCATAATAGCGGGATATTTCCGAGGGTGACGCTGTGCGATTTCGAAGTATGCTTTAAGATCATTGTCTACTATTGGTCAGAGAACAGCATATAATACCTAGCTTATTACCCTTTCTGCGATCTTTGCTGTACCCTTGTTTTCAGGTACGTGAGATGGGGAACATACAGACCCACACGGTGCAGTGTGTACTTGTGGTCAATCTTTTCACCGAGAAAATCTTCGTGCTCTTATGGGCCTGGTAAGTTAATTTTGTTCTGCAGTTGTTCGTCGATTTTTGATGGAAACCTAGGCGGGGACTGAAATTTCAGGTTCATGACTTTGACGGCACTCACATGCGCCAGTATTCTCAACTGGATATATTTGTTAACCGAGGAGTGCTCGAAAGAACATTTCATTTTGAATCATCTCGAAATGAGCGAAGCGCCATTTAATAAAACGGATCCTCGTAAGTGTAATTTTGTGTACTTCCACAGCACATAGCGCTTTGAAGACAAAAAACCTTTTGTTCATGAAAGCGCTTGAGGTTTTTACTGAGTGTTCTGATGGCAGTATTTCGAAATGGGCGTGGGACGAATGCGCAGAAGTCGTAATCGGCTAAAACTGAGCCTCTTTGATCAGATTAAATTGGTGTTTCCCTCTTCTTTTTAGTTATTTTATTAAATGCTTAAGTATATTTAAATGGGCAACCCCATACTCTAATTTTAAGTGTGACCAGTTCGATTTATTCTTTGCTTAATGCAGTTTATTACATTTCGTTTGTTCATAATCTTTTTGAGGGCTTTATTCTGTAACTCTTCGCGTCTAAAGTAAATTTCCTCATACTTTTCAGATGCATATTTTTGGTTTTAGTGCATTAACAGCGAGCGGGTAACGGATAAAGGGAGCTCTTGTCTTCACTTAAACATATGTTGTTACTCCCAAAAGCAGTTCTGTAATTCCAGAA